TAAACATTTTAGATACAATCTCTGTAAGATTATTCGTTTTACATACTTTGTTTTGAAGGCGCCGTAGTCTTTTTCTCCATTCGTTATTAGATTTCTTATGTTTTATTTTCATATCTTTTATAATTCTATCTTTCTTTTTTAATTGTCTCTGTAATTGTTGAATTCTTTCTAAACTTTTCTTATCTTGATCTATTATTGTTATATTTGGACTGCTATTGTCATGAGATAAGTCAGCTACTACGTTATTGTCATGAGATGAATCAGCTACCACGTTATTGTTATGAGATGAATCAGCCACCACGTCATTGTCAAGAGATGAGTCAGCTATCACATCGTCATTATAAGATGAATTAGCTACCATACGCGCGCGTTATTTTTTTTAATTATCACATTTGTGACTTCTATGTCGTTTATTCCAATTATTTGCTTCTCAATATTTTCTTCCGATGGCTTTTCTGATATGACTTTGTATTGGTCTCTTTTTAAAATACTGACTAAGGCCCGTATTCAAAACGCGCTAACAACGATGTTAGCGCGCTAACAGTTTACGTCACGTATACTATAGAATTTCAAAGATAAAAGCGCGTTCTGAATACGGGCCTAAGTGTACTTTTGGCCTTTGTGCTGAACCTACAAAAAAACGAGCCGTATATATTACAAATCATTGTGAAAAAACACTATAATAAGTGTACTTTTGGCTTTTGTGCTGAACCTACAAAAAAACGAGCCGTATATATTACAAATCATTGTGAAAAAACACTATATTTGTAGAGGATGCTTCTCATTTGACCATGTTACAATTAACCACGGTCACTCACAGTACTTAGAGTTTTTCCAGTTCAAATGCTGTGAGTGGTTGATGGTTAATTGCCATAATCAAACAAGCGCCACTTATTTGCAGGTTTTCTAAAATGATATTTTAAGTTAACATTTACTTCAAGAGAAAGATTACTATTTTTTTTTAGGTTGACGATAGAATAATTAAATGTAGTATAATCTCTCATACTCGAGTTATAATATCCAATTATGCAAAGCTGTCAATATACATATATGCTATTAAAACTTTGTTTAATAAATAAAATAATATATTAAACCTACCGTCTTGTAACATTTCCATATGTGGTTTTTTTAATACAATTGGTATAGCATTTGGTTTCAATTTCTGTTTCTTTCCAAATATTTTTTCATTTTCCCACATATCATCACTAAAATGTTCCTAAAAAAATTACGTTAAGTATAATATGTATTAAAATAAATAAATAATAAATAACACCATCGCTTGCAGCATGGGATGCTCAGGCAAACCGCAAACAGAACAAAGAGTACTACTATAAGTGAGAGAGAAAACTACCTACTAGATGAAGCCTAAGCTTTATAAGTAATAGACAAATAAATAGCTTTAAAATTACAATATTTAAAACTTAGTTACGTCACATAGTGCAGAATATTTTTTTAATTGATGACAGCCGACATTTTCCAACCATCTTTGTCGTCGGGAAGGAGATTTTGGGAAATTAAACATTTTACTTCCCTTTCTATTGCTATTTTTACAGTTAGGAACACTGCACGTTCGCATAATTGATGTTCTAAAACATAAGCCAGTAAACAAAATTTAGTTCTGTTTCTAGGTTAAGCATTGATTTTCGTATGACTCTTTTACTTCAAATAATTTCATTAACTATGATTGTCACAAGATCAGCATTAATTTCTTTGTTCTTTATATATATA